CTTAATTTTTAGATGATTTGATTTAAAGATAGCCATCATTATTCTTGAAATTCGTAATATTATATTTACAACACTTCAATTTCATAGAGCAGCCTCTCTGAAGTTCAATAGTCCCCTCAAGTCACAAGTTCGAATTCTCCCATGTGTACAGTGTGACACTCGAATATTTAGCACATATAGGGATGTCCGGGACTGGTCCAATAGCCTCCCACAACAACTAATTGTTGTAATTTGATTGTTATTAAAAACAAAGGTTCAATGCTTTAAGATTAAATAGTTAAATACTTTAAATACTTAAATAACTTTATCAATTTAATAAATATGAAAAAAAGTACGGGGATGCTTTAAAATTCATATAATTTTAATTATTACATTTGTATGTTACAAATACAACCATAAATAAAATAGTCCCACCTAAAAATATCCTTTTTATCTTAATTACATCACGACTCCATCTCTCTCTCGCTCATCTCTTTGCATTCCCGGGTTGGTTTCTTCCTTTCTGAGGAAACGAAAAACCAGAGATAAAAAAAAAGAGGAAATATCGAAGTGGAAGGAGAGCTATATAAAGAGATAGGGGATGGCGATGAGAAACTCTGATCTGTCGATGCCGACTTTCGGATCTTTGCTATAGAAGAACAGAGGGCATTACCTCGTCCTCACATAGGGAAACAGACATCGGATCGCCCGTTGAGCTTCCATCAATCTATTTACTTCAATCGATTTTCCCGTCTTATTCAGATTCAACTTCATCTCTGTTCGATCTGATAAAGATCCGAGCTTTCTTTATTGATTTGCAAGGAACTTCTCCGCTCTTCTGCAATAAGCTTACTTATTTGTGAAGGTAGATGCTTTTTTTTGTTTTTTGTGCTTGTGTGTTTCATCATGTTTTGGATCTATACCTGTCATCGTTGAATCCTCCTTCGTTAAGAAACCGATCAGAGTAGAAAAGATTGGATTTTGTTATCCGTGATTTTGTCCATCTGCTTTGAATTTTTGGTTGGGATTGGATCTAAATTGTGCTGATAGCGTTGGTGATGAATTTGTTGTTTTTGATTGTTTGATTCTGAATTCTGTGCTGGGAATTTCAGGGAGGAGAATGGAGTCTGATCGAGGGAAGCTTTTTATTGGGGGAATTTCGTGGGACACCAATGAGGATCGCCTCAGGGGATACTTTAAGAACTTTGGGGAAGTTGTGGAGGCTGTCATCATGAAGGACAGGACAACCGGCCGCGCACGAGGATTTGGTTTCGTGGTCTTTGCAGACCCTGCAGTTGCAGATAGAGTAGTTATGGAGAAACATCAGATTGATGGCAGGATGGTAACCACATTTCTTACTGTTCAGTTTCTCATATGCATTGGATTACGTTGATAGATTTATAAACACTAGATCTTTATTACAAAAACTTCAGCAAAATTTTGAACTTTTTTAATTTACTAGCTGTTAATTGATGCATGATAGGTTGAGGCCAAGAAGGCTGTTCCAAGGGATGATCAGCATATGGTTAATAGAAACACCAGCAGCATCCAAGGTTCTCCAGGTCCTGGTCGAACCAAAAAGATCTTTGTTGGAGGCCTTGCTTCCAGTGTGACGGATACTGACTTCAAAAAGTATTTTGAACAGTTTGGAACCATCACAGATGTTATTGTAATGTATGATCACAACACTCAGAGGCCAAGAGGGTTTGGTTTCATAACGTTTGATTCAGAGGATGCTGTGGATAAGGTGTTGCATAAAACCTTTCATGAGCTCAATGGCAAGTTGGTGGAAGTCAAGAGAGCTGTTCCGAAAGAGCTTTCTCCGGGACCTAATATGCGTTTACCAATAGGGGAATTTAATCATGGTGTTAATAGAATTAATAACTTTATTAATGGATATAATCAGGGGTACAGTCCAAGCACAATGGGTAGCTATGGAATTAGAATGGATGGTAGATTTGGTTCTTTACCTGGTGGAAGGAAGACTGCTCCTTCTTTGGGTCCTGGTTATGGAATTGGAATGAATTTTGAGCCTGGGATGAGCCCAATTTATGGCGGAAGCTCAAATGTCAACAACAATGTTGGTTATGGACGGTCGTTGAGTCATCTTTATGGTGGAAATTCGAACATATTTGGTAATCCTGTTGGGTATCGTGGAAGTGGTGGCAATCCTGGCTCAACATTTAGCCCAACTGCTCATAATCTTTGGGAAAATGGCGACCTAAACTATGGCACCAATCCTGCTGGTTCAAATTCCTATATGAATTCAGGAAGTAGGAGCATTGCTGGATTTGGCAATGGTGGCTTAAGTTGGAGTGGCCTATCTTCTCCTCTTGCATCTCATGGTTTGGGAAGCGATTCAATCCTTACATCTGGGAGTTTGAACTATGCAGCAGGGAAGAATAATTTTAGTTTGGTTGGTGGAAGTTATGGAAGAGGCAATGCAACTGGCTCTATCAATTCTTCATTTGTTGCACCAAGCAATAGCTTTGAAGGAAATTATACTGATTCATATGGCGGTGGTTCAATTCATGGCGACCCTAATCGGCAGATAGCACCTAAACTTGATGGTTTTAGTCCATTTGGTTATGGGCTTGGTGCGGCAACTTCAAATGTCGCATCAAATGGTGGTTCAATTGGTTATATGAGTGGTTATAATATATCAAATAGGTAGATGAATCAAGGTAAGGGATTACTCCCCATACTTAGATATCTAGAAATATCTTCAATGAAATTGCTTTCTTTGTGATTTGGTATTGATTTGATCTATTAGTGCATTGATTTTTTGCCGTCATTTTAATTTTTATCTCCTTGCCTTGCTTTGAAGAGAAACATATGTAACTTGTGATGGACTATATTGATTGGAAAGAGAGTGCCCTCAACCGAAGAGCAAGCATGATGAGCCATGAAGTAATCATAAAAGAGAGATTAATAATTACAAATGAAACTTCAAAATTTACATGTTTCAACATAAGTAAGATTCAAGCCATGACCTTATAGACATAAAATAATTCATTAAACTTTAAAAGAGATGCATAAAGATTTACACTTGATACGAATTTAAAGATATAAATAAAGACGCCAAGGTCTACTTCAGAGAAAATGTAAGCACATACTGTAAAGACACCCCTCTTCTCTCTTCCTCTTCTTTTATTCTCTTTGCTTCTTCTTCTCATGGATGCTATACAACTAAAAATTATATGAGTTTATATAATGAAGTATTGAGTTTGTATCATTAACTATCAACCACTATTGAAGACTTTTGTAATCATCATTGTTGATTTTTTATGATAATTTCAATTTAGGATTCTATGGTAGCTTCTATTTAAGATTTTTAAGCATAATCAGATTGAGACTTTATGATAGTCACCCTTGAAAAATTAAGAATAGATATTATAAAAACTATTTGATGAAATCGACTCTATATTTAACATCTATAAATAATAATAATAAAAAAACTAAGAATTTCAATCCTACTCTTCACAACCTTTGTCTAAGAATATAATTGCTCTCATGGAAGAGGCTCACGCCAACTATGGATCTCAGGAGTAATTGACTTGTGCATCTTTACTCAAACTATAGGAATATTCTTAGTATTCTTGAAACTATTCTTCAATATTGCATTACTAGAATTGTTTAAACTTTAAATTTACTTGTGTTGAAACTTTTATTACATGTCAATTTTCTATTGCTTTTCCAACCTTCTTCTCTTTATCTTCTTCATAATCATTTATCATGATTTCATATATTCTCCTAGTCAAATTCATTTTCTATCATACCTGATCCTCTTACATTATCAGGCTTCCTTTTGTGCGACAGTGGCACACATTAACAACAACAACAATAACAAGCCTTTATCCTAGTAGTTGGGGTTGACTTCATGAATCCTCTCCACTATGTCCTATAGAGTGTCATATTTTCATTTAATTCTAATAAATTAAGGTCATTTTTATATAACATGCCCAAGTCTTTTTAGGTCTATCTCTACCTTTCTCAACAAGTCACATCTAAAACATATACTCTCCTAACCGGATCATTAGATGATTGACGTTTAATCTCATGCCTTGATTTTTTCAACAAAAAATTTACAATGGATGTCGATTACCTGATAAAACCTTCTATTTTTTACATCCGCGGCTTGAGACCTGACAGTGACAACATTATATTTCAAAATTTATTGTGTGTGGCTTTAGTTTGCATGCATTGCTACTCTTTCTTAAGGATAATTAATGCCTTATACATGCCTAAGACAATTTGTAATTTCTTCAAGCTTTGTATAATGAAAAGATTATGAATGTTTCATTAAGATTATGACTACAAATAAAGCATTGTTCAAGTTAACTCTCACTTGAAATGTAATATTAATTTCAATATTTTTGTTAAGATCTGAGCCTTGTAAATGTCTGTTAACTTTCTCTCTTCCCCCACACTTGTGCTTTTCTCATCAGAATAGCTATCCATAAGAACTCGATTTACAATAAAATACGGTTCATCTAGAAAGTAAAAAAAAAATTAAGAGGTAATTTGGGATCACTATTATTTTTTATTTTAATTTTGTTTTATTGTCTATGTTTTGATTTAAATTAAGACGTTTTTGATTGATTTGATTATTTTTAAGAACACTTAATATAATTTTTAGGTATTTTGAGTGCTATCAAAAATAAATTTATTTATTTTTAATAATAGAAAATAAAAACATATAAAAATTGTATTAACCAAATATATTTTCAAAAACAAAAGAAAAAAATAAAAATAAAAACAGGAAATAAAAGTGATGTCATACAGGTCCTAAACTTACTAGACATAAGCTGATCTATTCTGTTCAAAATGTAGAGTAACTTTCATCTTGTACAGACCATTGAGATATAGACGACGAAGACAACAAGCCTTTATCCCACTAAGTGGGGTCAGCTACATGAATCTTTTTTCTCCACTGCATCCTATCGAGTGTCAGATTTTCATTTAATTCTAATATATTAAGATCATTTTTTATACAATATGCTCAAGTCTTTTTAGTCTACCTCTACCTTTCTTAACATCATTTGAATCTAAGACATCTACTCACATTGCCAGATCATTAGATGGTCGGAGTTTAATGTGACCAAACCATCTAAGACGACTCTCTCTAATCTTGTCCGCTGCTGGAGTTGCACCAACCCTATCACAATTATATTCATTTTGCATTTTGTGTCAAGCCACTCATCCAACTAAGCATTCTAATCTCGACAACACTTAATTTTGTATCATGCTTCTCTTTTAATGGCCAATATTTTGTGCCATAGAGCATTGAAGGTCTCATCACCATCCTATAAAATTTTCCTTCCAGTTTAAGCTATACTTTTCCATCACAAAATAGGCCCGATGCATTCCTCCACTTCAACCAGCCAACTTGAATTCTTCTAATAATTTCATGTCATGATTTTTTCACAAATTTTACGCTGGCTATCAACAACCTAACACAACTCTCCACTTTTCACATCCGGGGCTTGGGAGCCGGCAATGTTAGTGTTACAATTGAGATATAGAATCTGTATTTTTTTTCTTACATTTTAAAACATAATATAAAGGAGTAGTTTGTAAAAGCTCTAAATAATCTGCCTTAGTTTTATTTTGGTTTATCAAGAACCTTAAGCTCTTACAATCTTAAAAAAACTAGTACTTCTTATTTATTATTACCAGTTATCAAAATGAAGTGTTTATTCCTTTTCTTTTCCCTGTAAATTGTGTTTGGCTACTGTCATATTATAAAATGATGCGGAAATGGTCTATATGTGCTAAATGGGCGGGAGTTCGGCATTAAGAAAGGAAGATGTGCATGCATACCATCCAATTGTTATGTAATTACATATCTAACTCCAAAGCTCTACATGTCCTTTACCTATACACAGAAAAAGGTGTATATCACTTTTTAAAACTTAAAATGTTGATATTTTTGTTGTGATATGAAAGATTTGAATACTATAAATGTAAAATGTAAAGCTTAGGTGTTAGATGTGTAAATACATTGAAATTGGGTGGTATTTATGTAAGGCCTCATTAAAAATTGCTAGGTTCCCTTTCTATTGTATGCCAATGTGAATAATTGAACATACCTTTTCTAACATACTATAAAGAACAAAGTTCATATAATTATGTTTTTTTGCATGGAAATTTCTTTGATATTGTAAAAATGTCAAAATTCATTGAAAAAGCAGTAGTCATTGTTGCTCAATTTCTAATACATACAGCTTTATGTTGGCTGATGGATGACATTCTTGCGTGCTTTTTTCCTTGTTAGATATGTCATTTTGCGATTGAGCGGAGTTTTTTTAAAAATGTTTAGAACATTTCTTTCCTTCCTCACACTGAAAACCTTTGAGTTTTCCCTCCTTTAAAGATAAATTTAAGGGGCATTTCCACAAGTACCTCCAAATTTCTATTTATTTACCAATCTAACACTTGAACTTTACATTTTTACATTTGCATCATCCAAATCTTTCATATCACATAAAAGTACCATCATTTTAACTTTTTGATGTAACATAAACCTTTTCATGCATATGTAAGGTCCTATATATGTAAAAATTGAAGTTTATGTTAGATATGTACATACATAGTATCTGAGTTTTTTGTATGTAATTCTTCATAAATTTAATCGATAATGGAATCTTCTTGACATATTGACATGATTTTCTTAACTTTTTCAGGTGTTGCTGCCTAGGAAGGTTTCATTCTTTTGTGTCAGGTCTTATTATAGGTGAAGAAAGCAGTAATAGCAGGTTCAAGACTGAATTTGGAATATTTCATTGGATGTATAATGTTGGTTAGTTAATTATTTAGGGCTAACCAGGGAGCTTGTTTCATAAAATTCATTTTCAAGATTCTCAAATTTATAGGTTTTTCTGTAAGGGTTGAGTTCTGTGTTTCTTTTTCTACAATTTGAGTTTAGGGTTTCCTTTCTTTTGGGGTTCTTTTCGAGGCGTAAGACCGAACTGCGGAATTTATTCAGAAGAAAAGTTTCAATTCATGTAAGTGATTTAGTGTGGTAGACATTTTTTTTTCCTTTCAATAAATGAAGACTTCTATAGTTTTGTGGCAAGGCTCCTGTTTTTTCAGTTATTACAAACTTTCTCTTCTTTAATACTTAATTTCCAAGATGCTTAATATCACACCATTCTTATGTATTTACATATCTAACACCGAAAGTTTGATATTTACACCTATACCACGGTGGTGTCAAAAACCTATGCATGGAAAAGTGTGTGTTTCAGTTTTAAAATGGCAGCGATAGTTGTATTTTTTATGTGTTGTTAAAGATTTGCGTGGTGTGCATGTAAATATGAATGTTTAGGTGTTTAGATATGTAAATACTTTAAAAACTGTGGTATGTTGTAAATGCTCCTTTTTTCTGGGAACTTCCTTTCAAGGAACATTTACTATTCAAATTTTTAATACTGGTGCCCTTTTTATTTTCTTTATTGTGCTGATTCTCTTCCTTTGTTTCCTATCCAAAAAAAATGTGATTGCATCCAATGGTTTAGGTGCTAAAAGAATTTTTAGGCTGATTGCAGTGTTCTTTGCATGGTATTATTCTTTTCTTTTCTCTCTTGTCTGCCCAACATTTTTCTTTTAGCTCGTCCGAGCACAATGGAAAGACCTTAACACTCTGAGTTGTTCGTGGCTTGTATGATTCCTTCGATATCGTTTGTTTGCCATACATCTAATTTTCTTGGCAACTTTTCAACCAAATTATCCCTTATGTTGCAATTTGCATTAATTGATGGTCTTGTTTGGAGAAGCATGAAAACTTCCTACTAGTTTCTTGCCAATGTAGTTTTGAGGCATAGAATTAGGAACTGTGAAATTGTTGGTGTTGCAATAGACTGATTGAGAAAACTGTAACATTTATATGAATCCATGGGTCTTATTTGAATAGGATTGAAAATGTTAATATCCCTTCTGCAGCTCTTTTGGTTTCAGTTCACTGTTATTTCCTGCAGGCAAAAACAAAAGACTAATTTCCAGTTGATGGATGAGTAGAATTAATGAAAAGTTTTTGATTCAAGATAGAAATATGTGTTTACTATTCTTTGGTTTTAAATGTTAACTTTTTGTTTGAATTCTAATGAGCTAAAATTTGGAGTCTTATTTTGGAATCTCACGCTGACTTATTTAGGGTTTGTTTAAGGCAGTTGCAACTGTTTGAAGAAGCAGTTGTGGAGCTGATACATAAGAAGCTATAATTCAAAAAGTTGCGATGACTATAACATTTTTTTCTTCAAAAAGTCAGATCACAACATTCTAGCAGTCATCACAGTTAACGAGGTCAGGTTGCAAAACACGGCTTTCCGTTGTAGCTTTGAAAAAGTGGGCAAAATGCAATTTTTCTGAACATAAAAAAGTGTGGTGTGGTACTGCGTCTCCTCCACAGTGCTGTTCAAAAAACACCCTTAATCTTCTTCAAACCAAGTTATAAGTTTGGCTTCTCAATAAGTCTAAATTTGTTAGCAGACTACAAATCTTATTAAAGGAGGGAATTGTTACAATTTCTATACTAATAATGGAAGAATGATCGGGATAAAATGGAACTCCTTTACATTTGAATTGACTCTTCTTCTTCACATGAATGAGTTGGTTGAATTCTCTAATTAGAAGCTTTTTCTAATTATAGTGGTTTATGTAGCTAATGATTTTGTTAGAAGTTTTTAGGATTCTCTTGTGAAATTAAATTGTTGTTAAATCTAATTAGAAGCATTTCACCGATCATAAACATTTATTCTAGGTGATCCCATTTATTATTCTAGGAATAACTTAAAGTGCTAGAGAATATGTGAAGGCACTTGGTTTAATTCCATATAATTGTATTTTATTTTGAATTAAATCTAATTAGAAGCATTCAACCAATCATAAACATATATTCAAGGTGATCCCATTTATTACTCTAGGAAAAACTTAAAAAGTGCTAGAGAATATGTGAAGGCACTTGGATTAATTCCATTTAATTGTATTTCTATTCTTAGATAGTAGAAATAAATATGAAGTGATTTTCTTTCTTTTGGATTAAATCTAATTAGAAGCCTTCCACCATCCATAAACATTTATTCAAGGTGACCCCATTTATTATTCTAGGAAAAACTTAAAAATTGCTAGAGAATATGTGAAGGCACTGTGATTAATTCTATATAAATGTATTTCTATTCTTAGATAGTAGAAATACATATGAAGTGATTTTCTTTCTTTCGGATTAAGGGTCTGTTTGGGGCAGCTGCAACTTATCCAGCCAATTTATCCTGATAAGTTGCTGATCAACTGCTAATCCGGATAAACTGGTTGACTGTTTGGTTTGTGCGTTTGGAACATAATTGTTTTGCAGCTGTAAATCAACTGTATTTGAATAAATGTCATTTTGTCATTGATCTGTATAAGTTGGTTTGTTGTTTGGTTTGTGTGTTTGGAAAATAACTGATTTGCAGCTGTTTTTGGATAAATGATCATTCTGTCAATTTGCAATTGTGTTGTTTTGCAATAGAATTGTAATGGCTATATATTTGATAGTTTAGAAAAAAAACACACTTCATAACAGTACAAAAAAAGAATATACACTTCACTTAAGAGTAAGTATCAAGAAACCAAAAAAAAAGAAAATACATATTAAAATTACAATTAAAAGTATGATAATATTCATTTTAAAATGCTGAAGAAGCATGTCACGAGCAACGTTGTCCTGTAGGGATACCATCAAACCCCTTTCACTAGCGACAGTGGAATCGACCAGATTATCTGCCCACCTGAAGAAGTCACACTTTTCCGGACTGTCTGCCCACTATTGGCACATGCAGAACTCTCTACGGTAGTTATGTGCCTGACGTGATGTCACTAATGAAATTTATAGTCTACGGTGGCAGAGCACTCATCGGGAGGTTCATGAAATCCTGAAGCTCATCTTTCTTCAATGATACAAAAGAGCAGCCATTAGTCATAACAGGGAGATGAAATTTGATGGATAAATATACATGGAAATGAAAATAAACGGAAACTATGCTAGCATAAATTAACAAAAAAAAAAAGCGGCACGAGGGCTCAGAGAACTCATTACGCCAATCAACGAATTTGTCACTACAAGAAGATAATATATTTTGTAAGAAAATAAGGTTCTTGGTTGCATTTTACCCACTTAAAATCAACCTCGCGTGTGTCACATATGCATATCACCAAAGAAGGTCATCCAAAAGATTCTCAAAAATCATATTGCCAGAAATATAAGAGGAATTCAGTTGTCTTCATTAAAATTTCACATGTGACATCAACCAATAGTGAATGACTGAATGACAGACCATCCAAAAAACCCAGAAGATCAAACGTCTCACGTCGACCTCACAAGCCCACAAAAAAAAATGAAGAAAAGCTCTTTCAAACATGTGAATAATATAAAATCAAAATTAACAATGATATAACATATATAAAAAACCATAGAGTCTAGAAATTAAATATGAAACAACCGGTCAGCATCCAACGATAGCAGCTATGATCCGCTCTCTCAAAGCTGTCATTTCCGTTGCACCTCTGTCATCCTGGGTTTTTAAATTTCAGTGACTCCCTCTCTGACAGTGGTATAGTCTGTCCGACTTGAAATTCAAATGTTTCAGGCGGAATCTGCATCTACTCGTCATCAACCATACTGAACTATGGATCTGACCGAGAGTAGTGTCGTCGAATATAGTTGTGGAGTGTCATCATGGCCACCCACAGTATGTTCTTGTTTAGAAAACGGGTTTGTCGGCATATCACGTAGGATGACCCATTTTTTTTTTCACACACCAATTGTTCTTTCAATCACGTCTCGTAGGGAGGAGTGACGTTTGCTAAACATTTCTTGTTTACCACGGGCAACACCGTTTGATCTCTCGAAATTTGGAATGTGATATTTGGTATCTGGAAATGGCTTCAGAAACCTTTTCTGAATCTAACATCCACCAAAAAATATTTACGTGTTTAGTATATAATACTGATGTGGTATATAAATGAATGAATCTAGAGGCGGGTGAGGAAAGCGTTGTCTACTATTTTTTGTCGCATAAGCAAACAAATTGACTATCATGTGCACTCTATTCCCATCCGACTATCACAAATGTGAAGAGTATATGCAAGTCACATACGACCATATCATTTTGTATGGGTGATCCACATCGACCAATGTACGCGGCTTTTTTATGGTTCGATAGTCGTGCATTAACATGGGTACCGTCAATGAGACCAATACGGTTCTATTAAAATAGTTAAAGATGTTTTTGCCAGCAAAATAATTAGATTCAGATTTAAATGTAATGCATGAATTAAATTTACCTTAAAGAATGACATATAACGCGAGTCATTGACAATTTTTGCAGGAGTCGTCTCGAATGGCGGATCCTCCGGTCTAATTATTTGTGCTGCTAAACTGATCAGTGCTTTCAGACCCACGGAGAAATACCAGTTGATTGTCTCAGAGGAATGCTAGAAACACTTCATCGCTCCTCTCATTGATTTATTCTGCGCTAGACTGTAGAGTGTTATTGCTAACACCTTCCAAATAGTCGTTCTGGAGGAACCATGGAGCCGATGGTTGCTATGAAGTTCGTGTAGGAGATCCAAAAAATGGTTACAGACATGTGGAATATATTATTAAGCATTGTGGGATGTCCTAGCATCTCACCGACCCATTTATCATCAATGAAGGACGATGTCATGCATGAAGTTCGATCCACGATAGAGTTGTTCAATGAAGGAGGATGTCATGCATGAAGTTCGATCCACGATAGAGTTGTAGTATTCGTACAATATTACCATAATCACCGCAACAATTTATTTGAGTGAAATAGCTGCCAATCCATTCTGCAAAAAAATTTCGTTAAGGTTCATGAATATCAACCTACGATGATATAACAACTTTAAGAAAAAATAAAAAATAATAATAATAACTGCTCCATATCAGAAATAACAGTGTCATCATAGAATCATTTTTACATCCAATTGTGTTATCACAAAGTCATTTTTCCATAGAGAAATATAAGTATTGGACACAAAACTCGGGGCACAACTTCATGAATATTTGTATGTGGG